AGGTTGAGAGGAGACCTTGTGGCTGCCTATAAATTCATCATGGGGGTGCAGAAGGGAATTGGTGAGGCTCTACTCACCAAGGCGCCCCTGGGGGGTCACAAGAAATAATGGCCATAAGCTAGCAGAGAGCAGATTTAGACTGGACATTAGGAGGAACTTCTTCACAGTTAGAGTGGCCAAAATCTGGAATGGAGGTGGCGTTCTCCCCTACCCTGGGGATTTTAAGACCCTCTATTGAGGTCCCTTCTGATCCTAACATCTATGAATCTATGAATCTATGAATTTGGCCTCAGACACAAAATTAAAAACAAGAATGTGGAAAGTTCCCATCAGTATCTTGGCCCTTTTGGCTAAGATCGTTTGTAACCTAGTCGCATTCCCCTCCTCTCCCCCATCCCTCTATTGTTAGTCCCTCGCTCGGGCGCTTTGTATTTCCATATCAGCTTTGTCATCTTTTTTCTGGATTCCCAATCCAAAACATCTAGCACCAAGGAGAGGGTGTCAGGGCTGGTTCGGGCCCTTCCGGTGCCAGCCTGGTATTGCAGTACCTCTAGTTCCCTGCAGAGGGAACACCCGCCCTTTTTTTTTTAACAAAAAATAGTTTCCATCAGCATTTTTGGCACCAGGAGATATCAGAGCTTCCTCTGACTTTTGGTATCAGAGCTTCCTCTGATTTTTCTGAGTGCTGACCTGGTATTGCAGTACTTCCAGGCCCAGTGCTCATTCCCTCTGAGGGAGCAACTGCCCATTTTTTTAAGGGCCGCATGAAGGGAAAAAAAAGGTTCCTGTCAGTATGCTTACCCTATATAGCTCATATCTTTTATAGTCATGCTCAGTGTTGGCTGCATGTAATCAACTTTAGAATTGGTTTTCATTACTGGAGCAGTTTAATGATAGACAATATATTTAATGTGGCTTTTTCCAAATGTAAGATGAGGAACTTTTTTCTGCATGCTGATTGGGGAAAAAAATGTCTTATAGTTGAGTAAATGTGATATTTATCGAACATTTCTATTTCGTATTATTATCTACAATTCTACCATTTCTGGTTATAATAAACCAGTGTCATTCTTCTGTTTCCTTTAGTTCTTTATGCACAAAAATATCCTTCCCTCTGTTGTCCTTAATTCTTAACATGACTCCACAATATAGTTGTACCCAAATCAACAAAAGTGAACTTCCTCAGGACTGGCAGCCCATGGAATGAGAGGCACTCTGAGAATCCAGCTGGATCTACTGCAGAACAGATGAGAGGAAAGACAGACTGGTATCAGGGGACGCTGTGACTACACTGTACTTCTGGAAGTGAAGGAAAAATCAACCTTAAGTTTATAATGTTATATATCAAGCTCCATATTTGACTGCACTAATAATTCATGCATCATATGCTGTGCATTTGATTGTAATATTTTTCAGTGACACCAACAAAGACCAGGGGTCTGATTCGGCATACTCATGCCAAAGTGAGGAATAAGTCAACTGAAATTAATGGAGTTACATAAGAATGAAAGGTTGCAAGAAGAGAAGTGGGACCCTGCTATTATTTTAAGTAAAGCAGTCTTAGTATATTTGTCAAATTCCTTCACTCACCACTGGGATGGAGCCCCTGCATTGGTGGAACAAGCCAACTGTTAAACAGCCTAGAGGGCTACCACCCTGAATCTTGTGCAAATGCCAGGAGATCTTTAAAGGGCACAAGTGGTCAGGATCTTAATTTTACATCTCATCCAAATGACCAAGTTTCCCCTTTATGTATGACTATATTTATCCTTTTATTTTTACACCAAAATATTTTCCATTCTAATTTCTTCCAGATGCAAAGAAACTCCTTCCATAGCAGTGTTTTGTTGACAACATATCCAGTGCCTAGACACCAAAAGATGTGGAGCTAGTGAGAAATGAATTTATTGCTCAATTCACCTGCTGTTATCATGGAGTTTATTACTATTGTTATAGAGGCAAAACGCATCGGAAGGCAAGGTTTAATGATGTCTCTCATAGTTCCCATGGCATTTCATTCAACTTCTTGCCGCTCTGAGCTGTTTTCCTTTCTTCCATGACCTGAGCATAGCCAGAAACAGGGAACAGATTCCCAGCTGCTGCTCCCTTATGCAACAGTTTCCTAAACAGTCCATCTGGTGTGTTCCCTCCAAGCACAGAGCACAGCTCTCTCCCCGGGTTTGTTCTGAAAAGCAGGCAGTTTCCTTTGTTGATTCAGTTACAGAGAGTGACTTGAATGACATTATAGCCAAGCCCAAATGTTAAAAAATTAGAAGTCAGGCACCAAAGCACCATGAGTTTGTTATACATTTTAAAAGGTTTACATAAAAAGAGACATAAAATATTTGGGTTTTTTAGCTGCCTCCTGGATTGTATCTTTTTAGGGTGTTTTTGGTCGTATTTCAAAATTTTTCTACGGCTATAAAACTTAAAAACTTTTTTTGTTAAAAAAAAGTTGACTGTTTTGGTTAATCATTTGACTCCAGAAATACACCAACCATCTCAGGATTTCAAAACAAACTGCAAGAGTTTACCAAAGTTGCTGCTCTTCCTGATACCATTTTAACACAGCAAATCAGATACTATTCTGTCTGGGCCGGTGGTGGCTAACCTTTATGACAAGTATGCCACAAGTTAAGTCCACAGTATGAGATAGTGTCACTCTAATAATCAGCCACCATTGTCACCCAGATCCACTGCATCCAGTTGCCACTGGGATGTGGCAACACTGAATTTGGTGGCACCTACCCCCACAGCTCCCATGGGGCCAACCCCCCACAAGTCAGCACTAACTCCAGACACCTGCTCCCTCCCTGATTGCTGCTTTGATCCTCTCCCCACCACCAACCACTGCTCTGATCCCTGCCTTCTCCCCAGCTGCCACTCCAATCCTGTTCCCATCCCCAACTGCTGCACTGATCCCCCCCCAGACCCTGGCACAGGAAAGTACAGCAGTGCAAAATGGGAACACAATGCTATCAGAACAGAATGTAAGCATCTTTTCTCTGCTTTGTGCTTGTTTTTGCACTGAAATAAACAGTAACACTCTGGCTACAAACAGACTTCACATTTATCCTGGGATAAGCCTTTTTATCCTAAGGCAAAGTGCAATCATTCAGACATCCACGTCCATTTTTCCAGGATAAATCCTCAAAAGGATTCATGTGATGAGAAATACCAACAGTTTATCCTGGGACATTGCAAAATCTGTCTCAGCTGTTATCCTAGGAGTGCATTATTCAATCAACAGCATTCAGCTGCTCACTACGCCCTGATCAGAAGGGTACCACATGTGCCAATCCTGGGATATTCCTGTTCTAGGACAAACACAGACGCACCTTGTCCAGGGACAAAAGGAACGTCTGTTCCTATCCCAAAAATCAGGCCCTTACCATCAGGCCTTCAGGGCCATCTTGGCTAAACTTCCTCATTGTGGCTTTCTTTTCCATTAAGCCCCACTTACCAGAATACTGGTTGGCCTGTTGCATGTTGACCACATTTCTTCTTTGGTCTTTATAATCTGGTGGTGGCCTTGTCAAGTGTCTGTTTAATTGGTCTTGTGCATTGATTTTCTCCTACAGGATTAGATCAGAAATAAAAAATGTATTAATTTGTTTTCTTCATATGTTATCCTGGCAAATCCCCACTTTCCCACATGCTGTCCACAGTGGTAGTTTTAAGCCGAGTGTAGCAATTGGTCCTCAGGGACATTGTTTACTGAAGTGTGTGGGATTTCCATTATTTCAGTGTGCTTGAGTCATGTTCATTCTGCCTCCTCCTCCTGCTTAAAGTCACTGTGAGCTAGATCAGGGCCTTAAAATCTAGTAACGTGTTTTTCATCATTTTTGTGCCAACAAATCCTAAATAATTTGGCTTCAGCTTAATTTGCCCAAGTGAAACGTGGTTAACTTCAGTATGCCCACTTGGTAACTGTTGGGGATCTTGACCCATTGTTGAAAAGCACTTTTCACAAAACACCCCCTTTTTATGTGAGAGGAACTTCTCTGTATACATCCAGGAAGACATTACATTGTCCCGCTTCACACCTTTCCCCAAAACTCCCCTCAGCTGTGGGGCCTCCAAAAAATCTGACATGCACTAGGCAGTGTGCATCCTACGTGCAAACTGTGCGGTGACTATTTTACACACTAACCAGAACTGCCTCATTGTTGCCTTTCATTTGCCTGAACGTTTCAACTACTACCTGTTATGTTTCCTGTTGTACCTAGATTGCATGCATGTGTATGACAAGAACCCCCTGTAGAAAGGCCGTAACCTTGTTCTTACTTACGTCCTGCTGCCTCTTGGCTGGTTTTTTCTTTTAACTGAGAAAACTGGTTACAGACCTCTGCTGCTTAAATCGTGTGCTGTGTAATAATAACATTTGCCTCAGGGAACAATGTGAGATTTCACGCTCCCTGTGGCGGGAGTGTGAGTTTGCAGTGTCTAAAGCTATCGGGTCCATCTTCCAACTGAGGCCTTCGGAAACGATGACTCAAAATAATTATAATCTTTTTGAAACAGACAAAAACCCAAGAGAAACAAAGGTTTATAGACTAAAGTTAAGACTTGCCTTCAGCCCTCTTGCTATTCCTTTGTTCTCAGGGTTAGCCCCATCCACCCTCCTTCTGCCCTGATTGCTCCTCTCTTCACTTCCGGCTGTACCTTGTGCAGCCAGTGTTTATACTGAGTCTGTCTCTCCCTGCCTATGAGGGGATGCAAGCACGTGGACAGCAGGAAAGTGACCTTGGGGGGTGAATAAGCCCAATCTCAGGCTGAGGGAAGGATTTTGTGCTGATCTGTGCCCATATCTGTGAAGGAGGGAACAGAAAGGTGTACCAAGTTCAGGTACTCAATTCCAAAACTGGTCGGTGTCAGCAACTGAAGTCACACAATCCTCATTGAGGGCTGGATCCACCTCTCCTTAACGTCAGTGGTAAAACTCCATTTACTGTAATGCTGATGGATCAGCCTCTAATACTCCTCCTGAAGGTTAATATCAAGAATTTATGTTCCCAGTGTGTTGCTCATAAGCTCAAAAGCTCTGAATCCTCTGAGGCAGGTGACTGTCAATGTTTAGCAGGTTTGAGTAAGGACCAGGTCTTTCTTTCTTATTAAGAAGAGAAAGCTTAATAAGCCTAATAATTCATTGCTAAACCAGGACTATTGATTAACATGCAGTTTTCCCCAGAAGTGTGTTCACTGTCCTGTATCTCCTGGATTCCCACTTCTTCTGCGGCGTACTACACCATGTACTTGTGTTTCACACTTGAGAAGACTGTGGGCCTCTGATCTGAAGTAGGCAAATTAGGAGCATCCTCTGCCAAAAAAAAAATGCTTGGAAAATAAGTCTCAAAACCTGGGCCCCTTAGTTAAATGCTCCCTTTCTGAAAAGCTTTAAGTATCACTTCCTTCCCCCTGCCCCCAACAGATACATGCCAAAAACCAGAAGCTCAATTGTGACGCTCTCCCTGAGTTGTCAAAATGCCTTTAACCTCACAGAGGAGGAATCTGCTCAGATCGGCAATCCTAACCACCACGACTGCACGCCACTTGGTCTGAAGGTTCACGGGGCCGGTGCTTGGGTGGTCCTTGAAGATTCCCAGCATCTGTTAGGGAGGGGTGCTGAACACATTCATGTCCAAACAGCTCTGCTAGTCTCCAGCTTGCTTTCGCTGTGAACTGACAGGCAAAATTGGTCCAAACACTCTCCATTTCTGGAGGGGTTTGGGGTAAGGTGGGCCCTAGAGGGTGGGCAGCTGAGCGAGGAAGGTGGCAAGCAGTTGTGAGCACATCTTAAAAGGTTTCAATATATGAAAACTTGGTGTTGGGGGAGATATGACTTTCATTTACACCATTGCCACACTCTTGCACTGTGAATGGGTCATAAAGTGGATGTGAATTAAAACTATATTAATTTTAAAATCCTTTTAAGCTGCCAGAATTGTGTGATGATTTCAGCATTAGAGAGAACTGGGTCCTGAATATTTATCTGAAGATGATCAAAGCTATCCTGTTCCCTTCTTCTTCTAATCTCACACAAGGAGGTTTTCTTGTGAGAAATGTGGTCATTCTGCTTCCAGGCCTGGTCAGAAACAGCACGAGAATCTTGTTTTTTGCAGTATTTAGACATTTCCCTATTTCCCATTGGAAATGTGTAGCCTAATTAAGGTTTATCAGGCTCATTTTAAATTACCACTCAGCCTGAACCATTAAGAAGAAAGGAACCATTTAGCTCTCATAAAAGTCTAGTTTTTCAATAATTAATATACACTTTACCTGAGATTATGTTTAAAAAAATAGTAACCTAGAAACAAATGCAAGCTGATTAAAAGAGTATTCACTCTGTTTAATTTGTCTTTAACTTCAGTTTATTTTTATTTTCAATTAGAACTGTGCAATTAACTGATTTTTTGGTTTGCTGACACTTTGGAAAACTTAAAAAATAACATTTGGGGGAGATCATTAGCAATTTAAAAAAAATTAGAAAACCAACACGTCAAAGAAATAGTACAATTTGAACAAAATGTTCCATTTCAAATAAAGCAAATAAAAATGTATCTTAAAATAGAACATTTCTAAACAAAAAGTTAAATGTTTTGTATTGAAAAGGTCAAAATGAAGCATTTTGACTAGTTTAAATTTTTGAGGAAAAAATCTTGGACAAACCCAAAGGAATTTCATTTTTGCCTTTTGGTATTGAAAATGTGTTTTTCTTGTGGTAAAAAAAAAATGCTAAAAAAATATGCCCCAGCTCTAACTGGAGTACTTCTCAGGAAGAAGAGCCTGATTTCTGTTGTCCCATCCGCTGTGCAAAGGGGAGAGATAATAAACAGCAGCAAGTATCAGAAAGAATGTGAACAGGAGTGGCAGGAGAGGTTTTCTGAATGGCCCGAAGATCTGCACAGCATCTGCTCCAGCAAAGTATCTGAGCGCATGGTTATCATTAAACACCTGTGCGGAGGCGGCTAGGAAGGCCAACTGCACCTTGTCGTGCAAACACAGATGCATCTTGAGCAGGTCCAAGGAGGTGATCCTCCCCCTCTATGCGGCACTGGTCAGGCCGCAGCTGGAGTACTGCGTCCAGTACTGGGTGCTGCACTTCAAGAGGGATGTGGCCAGCATCGAGAGGGTCCAGAGGAGGGCCACTCATATGATCAAGGGACAGCAGGGTAGGTCCTATGAGGAAAGGTTGCGGGACCTGAACCTGTTCAGCCTTCAAAAGAGAAGGCTGAGGGGGGATCTTGTGGCCTGTTATAAACTGGTTAGGGGGGATCAGCAGGCGCTGGGGGAGTCCCTGTTCCCCCGAGCGCCGCAAGGAGTGACCAGGAACAATGGTCACAAGCTGGCGGAGGGAAGGTTTAAGTTGGACATCAGGAGGCGCTACTTCACGGTCAGGGCGGCTAGGGTCTGGAACCAGCTTCCAAGTGAGGTGGTGCAGGCTCCCACCCTGGGGGTTTTTAAGAGGAGGTTGGATGACCACCTTACTGGGGTCATTTGACCCCAGTGCTCTTCCTGCCATGGCAGGGGGTCGGACTAGATGATCAGCTCAGGTCCCTTCCGACCCTAGAAACTATGAAACTATGAAACCTGGTTCTGAAATCAATAGACCTGATTTTCATTGACACTAAATGGCTTTATACTACCCTGCTCTGGCAAACCAGTCTGAAAGTGAATAGAAACCTACCTTATACCCCCTGTTAGGGACCAGACATGCTTTTCCACACTGCTCTTCCTGACTTTCCTTCCTCTCACCCCCGCAATAAGCCGTACCTATCTGCTTCTGGCCTAAGTTCCAAATACCGATCTCAGACAGGGAAACCAGTCTGAAGGGACCCCTGGACCACTCTCAAGATTTCTGTCTCTGGTGTGGTTGAGAGCAGCAGTGGGGTGGGCATCCCCAGGACATCCTCACTGCCTCACTTCTAGGTCTGAAGCACAAGGAGTGGGCATTGGTTCGTAGGGTTATTTTTGAGGGTAGGCTCAAGACTAGAGAAGAACTAGCATGGATATCCCTTCCGTAAACGTAAGAATCAGAATCACCGTAAATCCTCACATGCTCAGAATTAAGCCTGTAAAACTGTAAAATTAAATAGGTACTTTCCTAGTTGGAGATATAACCCAAGGTAAAAGATGAAATTGAGGAAAAGGGAACTCAAACTCAATATCAGGGACAATCTCCTAATGGTGGGATCTGTTAGACTATCTCCCAAATTAAGTCATGGAAGCGTATATGGCTCAACTCACTCAAAATGGGCTGAACAAAGCACTCAGGAATATAACTGAAGGAACAACCCCAAATGTTCAGTGGTTGGCTGAGATTGTGTAACAGGTCTTTTCCATCTCCATTTTCTATTGTTTTTATGAATTGTTTTCATATAGAAAGGAATGAGAAAGAAAATTTACCGGTTCTGCCAACATCTGTTGCTGTAGGAGGAGCTGCTTTTGCTCCATCATCTGCCTCTGCAAAACCTGTTTCTTTTCCATCAGCTGCTGATTCAACATTGATTGCTGGGATGAATTCATGTAACCACTTCCAGTGTTTGGATTTGAACAAGCACTGGAACTTGGACTGGGGCCGGCACCTTGGCCTACCACAGAGTGTTGATCCTGAAAAAGAAATAGCAACTTGTGAATGATAAAAGAAATAAAAATGAAATAAGTGGAACTAAGAAGAAGCAGTAATCATTTTTACTCAGGGAAATTAGCAGCATGTTGTGAAAACTTAAAGGAATAACTGAGCTGTACCAGAAATTTTACAGCAAGTATTATATAGAGACTGGGCACGTCTACATGAGACATTTACGTGGTTGCCTAATTAGCTCCACAGTAAAAGTATTAGGCTGCAGGAAACTGATAAACTCTGCACAGATTAGTACTTGTAAATACAAGTACTATCCTGCTGCAGAGATTTTTAATGTGCAGCGTGCATGTGTAGATGCTGACCCAACTGGCTGGGGCATGAGGGTGCTTCTGTGTGGGGGCTGCCTGACGGCTGCTAGCTGGCTAGCTTTGCACTAAAACACCTTTGTGCCCCAGCCAGCCCCTCCGCAGCATATTGAGTTGGGTCAGGGCAGCCCAGCCCAGGCTGCCCCCCCTGGACCTGCTGCCAGCTGGGGCTGCTCCGATCTGGCTTGATGTGCTGTGGTCCAGGTAAACATGGTCCCTGGAAGCAATAAATTATGGTGCGATACGTGCCAGATTTTAGTGCTTTGCCGTAATATGCATATGTAGATGCACCCATTCAGTACTAGGACTGATAGCTATTGGCCACCTTGTTAGAAAATACAACAGAGGTCAGTTATTACTTCCCACTGTAATGCCAGGTGCATTTTCACTGGTACTTTTGTGGTTCTCTACAATCTCTGTGAAACACGTCCAGAAATTCTGGAGTGTCTTCAGTAAACTCCAGGATTTACAAAGTTTCTCAAAGATGAAATCAGTCAGTTCTAACAGAACATCCTAGAGAGGTTTTATTTCCATTTTGGGTTCTATAGAGGGCCTTGCTCAGCAAAGCCAAAGTCAAATGTATTGTAGGTATCACTATGTCATGCTAGTGTCTGTCTAATGCCTTTTTCCAAGGCTCCAGGTGCCTGAGGTAAGCGTACTGCCCCAATTCTCAGACTACTTCCCTGAGGACTTCAGAGACCCTATTCACATGAGTGAAGTTACACATGACTTGAAGTACTTGCAGGCTGAGCTCTATGACAAACCCTTCAGAGAGTGTAGTGGACATAAAGGAGCTGCACTAAAAGAGCAGCCTTCGAGGTGGAATAAGAGGCAAATACGGTGGGAGAAGGGAAGGATGGTTCTTCCCTGGCAATAGAAATGGACAGCTTTGAAACTATATTGTGATGGGAGGCAGGGACGCTGCTTGGTCTCTACCCAACAAAGAACAAATGCCAGGTCTCCCTTCTCCTCTCACACTGGTTTCTCAAGGAAGGGATGTCACAATGACAGCTTGGGAGACTTCAAAGAAATCTCTGAGAAAGTAGAAGCTCATTTAGGGGACAAAGGTTTAGACTGAAACCTTACTGGGGGCGTCTAGTTTATTTTCTTATTATAAACATTAGACAACACGCTGAGCAACATGTTGCCCTCTGCTTGTTCGCCAAACTAAAGAATATGATAAATGAGCCCCCATGTTAGCACACAGCAGTCTTTATTCTATAATGGAACACGCCAGAGTCATGTACTCAACAGATGCATAATATAAATCAGACAAGAGCTACTGGGGAATTTGCCAAAGTTACGGGAACAACACTTTCCTGACCTCCAGCCTCCACTGTCACACCTCATTATAGGAACAAAGACATACAACCTGGAGAAGCTCCAAATAATACAATATTCAACAGCCCATCTGTTTCACAGCAAAACCCTCCATGAACACATCACCCACTTTTGTGCTGGCTCCCCACAAATAGAATCCAGTTTCAGGGTTTTGTCCACTGCACTTAGATCTTAGAGATTCGAAGGACCACTTCTCCTTCCAAAACCATGACCTTTCAACATAGCTACATTCTTCAGAGATAATTATACTTGACCTACGGGAGAAGCTTGTGAGTGCTAGAGACAGATGGCAAACCTGGACTACAGAGTTCACTCTGCAAGTCATCCACTGGACCTCTCTGCCTTCGGAACTAAATGCACATTCCTGACACAGATTAAACTCTCTCTCCCACAAAAAAAATAATAAAAAAATAAATCCTGCTATTTCTTCTACAGCCTGAAATGGCAGAAATAAAGCAATTGTTTTAAAATAATTCTGTAGCTTTTAGAAGGGAGCCATATAAGTACAGTTAAGCCACATATAAGCCAAATAGATAAAGCATGAGACAGTCTAAGTATGAAATAAAAAACGCGTCCTTCATTTGGAGCCACCTGCAGCCCCCAGGGCAGTGCTACAGTTCCACCCCTGAAAGTTTAATGGGCATTTACACAATTATATCTTTCATTTCAAGAAAGAATCAAGAATGGCTCAGCCACTGCCACATTTTTCAGCCCTTATGTTAGCTGTGAGATACAAAATACCTCCTTTCCACAGCCCAGCCTGCCAAGATGTTGTGCAAACTTTTGTCCTTCTTCAAATATTTTGAAAGGAAAAATATGTTACAGTAAATTGGCTTTGAGTCTACATTCAAATGGCACTCTTGCTTAAAGCCAGCCCACATGCTACATCCTTTAATAGAATTCATCTGTTTTGTCTTTGCACAGATAATGCACATTCCCTGAACTCATGCTTTTCAGGTCCAGGGTAAAAAAGAATATAACTAGAACAACAACAACAAAACCTTTTCTCCTACAGCTGCCCATTTCATTGTGGTTTTTATTTTCGGATAAGCTAGATAGTTTCCATTCATGGGACATGTCCCCATGAGAATGCATGTCTGGTTTGCGGTGCCACAGACATGTCTGTGGCACCGCAAACTACATGCACTACACATGCAGTAGTTTGCCACACTGCTAATTTGAAGACAATGTCCCAGTGTCAAAAAAACCCATGCCAAAAAAATAAAAAGGGGCATCATATAATGGTGGCAGCGTAGGCTACCCCAAACTGGAGCCTGGCTGGCCAGAGCCGCACTCCGGCTGCTGGCCAAGCTCCATGTGCTCGCATTGCCACTGCTGGAGGCCCCCAGGTAAGGCTCCTGGGGCCAGCCCAGGTGCTGCCCCCAGCCTCCCCTACCTCACCCAGGACAATTTGCCATGCACACAGAGGCATTCCTCAGGGGCAAGTAGTAGTGGCACAACTATGTTCCCAGGGAAATGCACATGCACGCTTGTCTAGACACAACCATGATGCCTATTAAATGATTAAAGAAAAAAGCCTGTTTATAACAGCAGTTGGCACAAAAAACCACTAGCTGTTTGGCAAAAAGGCACTGAAAGAACTATGTAAATCATGCGATTTTACCACTTTAATTTTCAGCATTTGGTGTCCTCTTTGCTGTCCTGAAATGAATTTATTAGGTGTTATTGCTTGTAGGGTTACGATGGTGAGAGAAGGAAGAACACTTTCCTAATAAACCACAATTCGTGAAGGAGGTGAGTTGTGCTACCAGCAACCCTTACAGATCTGGTTCTGTTGGACCCAATTCTCCTCTCACGTACATCATTCCACATCAGGAGCCAACTGAATGACACCCATGTAAAAAGAGTTAAAGTTAAATCAGATTTTATTCATAGATTATTAGATTGTTCGGGGCTGGAAGGGACCTTGCAGATCATTGGGTCCAGTCCCCCTGATCTAGGCAGGAAGACAACTGGGGTTAGGTGACCCCAGAGAGGTGACTGTCCAGTCTCCTCTTGAAAACCTCCAGGGTAGGTGACTGCACCACCTCTGGAGGGAATTTACTCCACATTCTGGACACACTGAATGTGAAGGAGTTTTTCCTGGCATCAAGCCTGAAGAGGCCTTCCAGGAGTTTGTATCCATTGGTCCTGGTCTTCCCCAGCGGTGCCCTCGTGAACCCTTGTTCACCGAGCTCCTGATGCACTCCTCTGACATAGCGGTAAGCTGCTATCAAGTCCCCTCTCAACCTTCTTTAGGCTAAAGAGGCCCAGTTCCCTCAGCCTTTCCTTGCATGGCTTGTCTTGCAAGTCCCTGATCATACGGATGGCTCTTTTCTGGACCTTCTCAAATTTTTCCACATCCTTCTTGAAGTGCGGCACCCAGAACTGATTTTTAATCCTGATATGATTTTGAACCTAAATATATGGTGACACAAATTCTGCCTGCTTTTCCTTTGGATTTATACTGATGTCCTTGAGAAGAGAACTTGGTCCTGCATGTATTACTTATTGTTAAACAAATAATGTCCACAATGTTTTACTGGAATTTTTTTCTTTATAACTAGATACCCAAATATACTGGGCCAAATTCAAATCTTAGTTACACCAGACAGTATGTGTCACCCATACAGGGATGGTATGAGTTATTTGCCTCAACTCAGATGCAAGGTCCAACTTCCAATCAAGCCCTAAATAAATGACTTGCTACAAACAAATCTATTCTTCATAGCAAAGGATTATATTGAGGGTAAATGAGAGGCTAAACAAGCTAGGATTATTTAGTTTGGAGAAGAGAAGACTGAGGAGGTATCTGATAACAGTCTTCAGATACCTGAAGGTTGATAACAGAGGATGGAGATAGACTATTCTCTGTGGCTGGAGGGGAAAGGATTAGGAGCGATGGCTTCAAACTGCAGGAAGACATTTAGGTTGGCGATTAGGAAAAGCGTTCTGACCATGAGGATGGTTCATTTCCAGGGATGGCTATTCCACAACTTCCACTGAAGAGGCTATTTAGAGGAGGTGTGGAATCTTTGCCCCTGGAAATCTTCAAGAATAGGTTGGACAGACACTTGTCCGGGATGGTTTGGTCAAGGTTGAGCCTGCCCTAAGCAGCAGGCTGGTCACTAGATGACCTCATGAAGTTCCTTCAGCCCCACTTTGCTATAATCCTGTGATCCTGAATGAGTACTACAGAGCTAGTCCTAAGACTTCCCTTACTTCGGGCTACCAGAGGCATTTTTACCTGAGGCACAAAGCCTCTGAGGGAGCGCCTCCTGGGACACCGTGCCCTCTACCACAGGGCTGTGCTTAACATC